TCCTTTGGAACAAGCATTTTAAAGAATGCATCCAAATGCCCAAAATGTACATGAAAAAAAAAACCTTCTGTACATAACAAACCATGAGAAATGCAAATTAAAACCCCAGTGAAATCCCACCCACCTCCTACAGTGGCCATCAAAAGAAGGTAGGACCACGGTTCAGAGGCCAGAGGAGAACTCATTGCAAATTGTTCCTGGGAAAGTATGTCAGCATAGCTGTCTGTCATGGAAAACATGTACCTCAGAAAACTGAAAACAAGAATCATATGCTCCATTAACCTCACTGCAGGATCAACACCTGAAGAAATTAAATCAGTGTGTTAGGATTTCTGTGTTGATAATGTGCCAAAGCACACAGTCTATAAGCACAGAGCTCTATGCGATTGTGTTGGGAAGGACATGCACATGTGGAGAAGGGGGTACGTGGGAACTCCAGGCTGTTCACTTCATCCCACACCACACCTAGAGCTGCTCTACTAGCCAGGGTTCTCAAGAGACAGAACTGGGAAAATGAGAAAACATATAAAGGGGGTTTCTTAGATTGCCTCATAGGGTGTGCTCTGTAGAGCTCACAGATGGTTGCCTCACACCAGTAGTTGCTCAGTCCAAAAGGCTGCAAGTCTCAGCAGTCTCAGTGTGGTGCCAAAGGCCTGGAGGATTACTGGAGAGCTACTGGTTTTTAATGGACATTGGAATTCTGAAGAAGTTGCTTCTAATATCAGTGAAGGAATGCCTCCGCAACAGGACAGATGAACTTACCAGGGCAAGCAGATGAAAAGCCAAGTTCCTTTCTTCCTCCATGTTTTTATATGGGCTGCCACCAAAGGTACAGCTCACATTTGGAGTGGACCTTTCTGCTTCAGATAATCTGACCAAGAAAAATGCCCAGTAGTTTGTGTCTTACTTGTCAAGTGGACAACCAAGATTAGCTAACACAACTCTTTAAGGTTTATTCTATCTCTTTAAAAGGGTCATTGAGGGGGGGCTAGAGCGACTGATTGGTCTCAGCAAGTTGAGTTCTCAGCCACAACAGTGAGATCACAACTCCCTGTACCTTAGCTCTAGGAGACCCAATGCCTCTGGCCTCTTTGAGCACCTCTGCAGATACGTATTTACACATAAGACACAAATGAACCAAGAAAATCCGTTTTAGACAGAAAGACTAGAGACTGCCTGGAACTATAATGATGGGGTGGCAGGGAAGGGCTTCGTGGACTGGCACCAGGATCCCTGGGGGCTAAAGTCCAGGAACTACCTACCACTTAACATTGCTCCTGTATGTATGTGGTTAAATGCTCCAGACACTGAGCTATAAAATGCTTTGCTTGCCATCCCAGAATGCACCTTGAGGAGAACTTGAGATATTCTGAGCTCCCTGTGATTCTAACCTGACCTCTGCTTCCCCGTTTGAGGGCTGTCACCAACCCATGCAGCCCTCCTGACCCCACCCTTGATTCTTTCAGATCTCTTTATTTTCATCCTAAGTCCTTTGGGACCCCGTCCTGAACCCTGACACAGCCAGTCTGGGATCAGTTGAGGGGCCATGGAGATGGCTCATCAGGCAAAGGCACTTGCCGCACGCACAGCCTGGTGATGCGAGGTCGATTCTTGGGACCTTAGTGAAAGTGGAAGGAGAGACCAACTCCTCTGACCTCCACTTAAACACACTATAAATAACAAAATTTAATTCTGCTTTTTCCATAATATTTTTGATTACTTTTTATAATCCAATCAATTTCCCCTTCCACCTCCCCTCTGCCCTTCCCCAATCCAGTCATCTTTTTCTATCCACAAAAGGCAGGCAACCCATGGATATCAACCAAACATGGCATATAAAATCACAGTAAGACAAGGCTCCTTCCCTCATAGTAAGACTGGATGAGGCAACCCAGTAGGAGGAAAAGGGTCCCAAAAGGAGCCAATGGAGTCAGAGACAGGCCCTGCTCCCACTGTCAGTAGATACAAGATCAAGCTACATAACCATAGCATATATGCAGAGGGCTTAAGTCAGCCTCCTGGAGGCTCCCTAGTTGTTGGTTTTAGTCTGTGAGCCCCTGTGAGACCAAATTTTCTTGTGGTGTCCTTAACCCCTCTGGTTCTTACAGTCCTTTCTCCCTTTTCTGCAGAATTCCCTGAACTCTGTCTAATGTTTGGCTGTAGGTGTCAGCATCTGTCTCCATCAGTTGCTGGGCAAAGCCTGATGACTTGGTTAGGCAATATTACACATCATTTCATTGACTTTTTTTTTTGGGGGGGGGGTCAGTTGTGTTTGGTTCTATCCTAGATCTCTGGGATATCAGCCTCGGGTTCTGGCCCTCCAGGTTCAAAGGTGGGCTCCTTCTCATGGCACGGGTTTCAGGTTGGACCAGCCATTGGTTGGCCACTTCCACAATCCCTACTCCGTTACCCTTGCTTATCTTGTAGGCAGTACAAATTGCAGATCAAAAGTTTTATGGCTGAATCATTATCCCGATTCTTCCACTGGATATTCTGCTTGGTTACATGAGATGGCCAGTTCTGGCCCCATACACCCCATTGCCAGGAGTCTTAGCTAGGTTCACCCTCACAGATTCCTCAATTCCCACTGCACTACGTTTCTATCTCATCCCTAAGATGCTCCCCAATTTCAGTTGTCTCTCCCACTACTCTCTCCATCCTCCTCACACTTGATCCCCCCTTTTCCCAACCCCTAGCCTCAGCCCCCCCTCCATGTCTATTTTCCCTTCTCAGGGAGGTTCAGATGCCCACTGCCACCAATTGTTTTTTGTTGTTGTTGTTTTGTTTTTTATTCAAGGTTCCCACTATGCTTAAGAAACTACCACTTGGCCAAGCATGGTGGCATGGTGGTACATGTCTTTAATCTCAACACTCAGGAGGCAGAGGCAAGTGCATCTTTGTGAGTTGAAAGCCAGCCTGGTCTACAAGGACAAACAGGGCTTGTTACACAGAGAGACCGTTTCAAAAAAAACCAAACCAAACCAAACAAACAAAAAAACCCAAAACCAAACCAAACCAACCAAAAAACCCCTGCCACTTGTCAGAACATAAAGTGTACACATGTCCCACTAATTACTTAACAGTCTTCCTTTTCCAAATGTGTGCAACTAAACATATCACAAGCAATCATGTACAAGCAGGTAAGAATACAGCAGTCTTTTAAGCAAGACATAAAGCTTTGCTAAAATATAAAGTTCCACTTTCTTAAATTTTCTCATCTTCTTAAAAAGTATTGTATGTAAAGGTGAGAGAACTGACTCCACAACGCTGTCTTCTGACCTTCACATGCATGCTATGACACACATACACACACACCCCATACTAAGGTTTTTTGTTCTGAGGATCTTGCTTTCTTTAACCAAGTCATGTTCTAAAACCATGGTCAGTTTTTACTGTGCAGTTGCTGAGTGACTAGAACTGATGTGCTCTGAAACACATCAACAGGCACAGCAGAACTTCACAGACTGCTCACAAAGATGTATCCTCACAGAGCTGGAGAGAGCTCAGGGATTAAGTGTTTGCAGTTCTTAAAGAGGACCAGAGTTCATCACGCAAGCACCAAGGGTTACAACACTCTGGACAATTGCACATATGTCTACAAACAGAAACACATAAATAGAAAAATTTTAAAAACAAAACAAAAAAACAACATCAACCTTGTGTCAACTTGACGATATCCAGAACTAACTAAAATCCCAAATCAGAAGACACATGTGCAAAAAAAAAAAAAAAAGAAGACACGTGTGTGAAGGATTTCTGCTTAGTTTGAACTGGGAAGATCTACTTCTAATCTCGAGTTTTTTCAGGCAGGAAGGCACACTTTTAATCCAGATTCCTTGAGCTGGGAAAACCCACGTCTAACATGTGTTTCTGCACCTTCTGCTGGAAGCCTATATAAGGACAAGAAAGAAGGAATCTTGTGCTCGTTGCCTGCTTGCTCTCTCCCCTTGCTAGCAAGTCCATTCCTTCACTGGCATTACAGACTACTCCTTTGGGATTCCCACATCTACTAAAGACCAGCTGAGACATCCAGCCTCATCAACTGAGTGCCTACTGGATTCTTGGAATTTCCATTCATAGCCAGCCATTGTTGGATTAGCTGGACCACAGCCTGTAAGTCATTCTAATAAATCCCTTTTCTAGACACAGAGAGTCTTGTTCTATAAGTTAGTTCTATTACTCTAGAGAACACTAATACAAAGGGGTTTGTTTTATTTATTATTTAGTCTTGTTATCTATCCCTGGCTGCTCTGAAACACACTATGTAGAATAGGCCATATTTACTATCTTGGCTTCTATTGCTATGATACACCACCATAACCAAATGCAACTTCAGGAGGACAGGGTTAGTCAGCTTACAACTCTTAGATCATACTCCATCACTGAAGGAAGTCAATGCGGGAACCTGCAGGCAAGAGCTGAAGCAGAGGATATCGAGGTGTGCTTCCTGACTTGTTCCACATGGCTTACTTGGCCTGCTTTCCTGTACCATCTAAGACCACCTGTCCAGGGTAGCAACACCTACAACTGGCTAGGCCCTCCCTCCTACATCAATCATTAATAAAGAAAATGCTCCCAGACACACCTCCAAGCCATCTTACATACTTTCTCAAGATTCCCTCTTCCGTGTTTAAATTTGTGTTGTCAAAAAGCAACCAGCACAGAGATCCACCTGTCTCTGCTGAGACTGAAGGTGCACACCACCATGCTTTGCCTTTTTTTTTTTTTTAAATACACTTCAAATCTTTACAAGCTACCAGACTTACATATGGGACAGGTCATACATGGGTTGGTCCACAAAGAAGGTACTTATCACTGTCTGGTTCCTAACCTCCAATCCTAATAAACACCTACACACCAGGCAAGTAAACTGTTTCTTGTAAATTCTCATGTAGATGTATCTCAATTTTTTGATACCGACGAAGTCTGCACCCAATACTTTATTTACAAAGCATGCACAGCTTGTTATCTAAAGGAATTCTTATAAATCACATTAGAAACACTTTTTAAAAGATTTATTATGTACATAGTGTTCTGCTTGCATTCATCCCTGCATACACTATGATGATGCAAGCCTTTAAAAAACCTTTTTAGTATGTTTCTCACAAACAGAAAATGTTATTTACTAATAACAGAAAAATTCTTATTTTCCTGAAGGGAAAAGCACCAAGAAGCACAGGGCACCCTAACTACTGAGTGCCAGAGCCATTGGTTTCAGGATTTCTGAGCTCCACATCACCTGAATCCAAAGCTTTCACAAATTCCAAATTCAGGAAGTCCTGAAGGGCGCACAGCAAGCATTCCCATTCCTGCTCTGGGACATACACACTCCTGTAGCTCACCAACAAAGACCTTCTCCTGCTACAGACTAAGATTAAATATGCAATACTACCTTTCACAAAGCAAGATTACTTGAGAAAGAGTAGAACATGAATATTCTGCTGAATAGTTGAATCAGTAGTTCATTCTTTGTTCAGACAGCTTCTGATGTCCAACAATACTTTTCAGTCCATTCTTCACTCATGAGAGAAATGTGCGCACAGTCCCCTTGATTGTCCCCCTGCAGATGGGGCACTTTCTCAGGGAAGGGGCACATTCCTGGCAGACTACCAGATGACCACAAGGAATGAACACGATAGAAACCTCTCTGTCCATACACACTTTGCAAGTTCGTTCTTCTTGTAATCTCCGCAACTGTTCTTCCAATGACAAACCTGAGAACAAAAGAGTGTTAGTGAAATTCAGCTTCTAAAAAGTAACAGAAATAATGCTTAAATACTAACTCTATTTTACCTGAAACGTCTTCTGTTGGAATATATTTCATATTCTTTTCCACTAAAGAAAGAAAGCATAAAAAAAGCATCACTCTATCAATGCAAAACTTTTTTAACCTAATATTTTTAGATAGATTCTTTTGCTATATATTACAAAGAATACTATCTAGACAATAAAATACATCAGTTTATTTTTGACTTAGGTATAATGTAAAGATTACAATTAAAAAAAAAATTGATTTTATGTATATGAGTATACTGCAGCTGTCTTCAGACACACCAGAAGAGGGCATCAGATCCCATTACAGATGGTTGTGAGCCACTGTGTGAATGTGAGAACTGAACTCGGGATCTCTGGCAGAGCAGTCAGTGCTCTTAACCGCTGAGCCATCTCTCAAGCTCAAGATTACAGCTTTTCAAACTAGATTTATTCTACTTGCTCAACAAGAGAGATGACTAAAACCCTATAGGTATCTAAATAATTTTCTCAACAAACTCACCAAATAAGTTTTCATATAATGTGGAATCAATTTCCTTCAGAGAGTTTTTGAAGATGTTGGCTGCAGCATTTCCCTTGACTAAAATGGTGTCGATAAGCTCTCTTGCTTGTAAGGGTATCTGTGTTTTCTGTCTGATAATATCATGTTCCTGTTTTGTAATTACACTGGCCTCAAGAAGATTATCCAGGATAGGAAGGACACTCGTCAACTGCTGAAAGAGGGCCATTCTATTCTTCCGAATCAGCATCAAGTCACCTTCATTTAAAAACAAGCAAGAAAAAAGTTCCATTAAATTGCAAATGCCCCAAACTTACACCCAACCAACCCTATGCACAAATCAGGAACTAAGCTGAGCTTGAAGGACTTCTTCGAAATTACTTGATTGCACGTCAATGGTGTCATGTTAATCTTCCCAATTAAACTCAGATGTATCACACGGCTCATACAAACACTCTCAAGTCTACACAATGACAGACTCAGACACTGGCCTTCAAATTTGTTGAAAACAAGCAGAAAACTTTAAAGAGTAGTAAAACATGTATCCTCTTTTATTCTCTTTCCCCAGAATCCTAAACTAGTTGGGTTTTTTTGGCTTGTTATTTATGGAGATAGGACCTCATGTATCCAGGTTCCAAACATGATACATGATAACCCTGATCCTGACTCTACCTCCATTCCAAGTGCTGGGATTACAGATGTGAACCACTATGCCCAGTTTACATAGTGCTGATGATGGAACTCAGGGTCTGTGAATGCCAAAGGACCCATCAATCAAGCTACATCTTCAGCCTAGAGCAGTGTTCCTTCTGAGGCTCCATGGCTTCTATAGAACTACAGCGCTCAAGAGCTTAACCTACAAGTCACAATGGACTATGCTTGGCTCCTAGGCAAGTCTAGCCACTTAATACCCATGTGTCCCCCTGCTATATATATCTCAGTTTCCTGATCTGAGGGGAGATCAAGGACAGCACTAGCTACAGACTGAATTTGAAGCTAGCCTGAGCTTGGCATAAAGAAACAGTTTAGAAATGCCGGGGCAGAGGGTGTTAGCAGCCATTTACAGGTGTGAAATAATGCTGCACATAACACGTAACTGAAAACCTGTGGCCACCAACACCGATACCTGATGCTGTCTCTTCAGTCTGTCTTTCCTTCTCTTCTTCTCTTCTCTCATCTTCAGCATTCAGAAGTGCTGAGACAATATCACTGACCGTCCTGTAGTTCTCACCAGTGGCCAGGATCTGACGCTGAACTGTCTGTCTCACCAGATTCCTACTGAAGCCCATTTCCAAGGCTGCTTTAACCACAGGCGTGCTCATCATGACGACATCTTCCGAACTTTCTCCAGGGCCGAAATGCACAACTATTTGTGGACAAATTTGCTAATATTAAACTTGACAAATTTATAACTATGAAAACAATGCCTGTGGCACCTTTATTTTTCATATCCTGGTAAGGGAGACATATCATATGCATCAATTAAATTAACTTCAATACAATTTGAACTTTGAGTAATTAGTATACCATGCATCTAAAAAATTACTTCCTACAGTACATACATCCTAGACATAAACTTAAAAAAAAAAATCTCTTGGCAATCTTCTTAGGAATCTGATTGTTAAAAACAATCCCAACAGTGCTGTTTGGATGGCTCAGTGGTAAAGGCACTCACTGCTAAGCCTGACAACCTAAGTTCAATTCAAAGGATCCATAACGAGGGAGAAGAGAACTAATTCCCAAAGTTGTCCTCTTTTTTAAAAAAATAGTTTATTTGCTTTTATGGCACTGGTGTTTTGGCTGCATGTGTGTCTGTGTAAGGGTGTTGAATCCCCTGGAACTAGACCCGCAGACAGTGGTGAGCTGCCATGTAGGTGCTGGACACTGAACCTAGGTCCTCTGGAAGAACACCCAGTACTTAGAACTGCTGAGCATCTCTCCAGTGCCTGAAGGGATCACTTCACTTCCACATACATACTGCAGCATGTGCACCCACACATACACTATAAATAGTTTCTTCCTCAAAAATCAGATAGGCAAGATGGCTCATGGGTAAGTGTTTGCTGCACAAGTCTACCCAAATTCAATTCCTGAAACCCACAGGAAAGGACTGACTTCTAAAATAACTGTGTCTCCATGTCTCTGTCTCTGTGTGTCTCTCTCTCACACATACATACATACATACATACACAAATATGACAAATGTTTTTAAATATCTCCCCCAAAGATTCTAATATACAATCATTTTTAAAAACCAATGTACCACAAAAAATATAGATATGAGAAATTACCTTCAAGCAGGAAAGAAGGGCAAATGTAAAGCTCAGTAGGAACTGGACATGTGACAGCACAAAGCCCTAGGTCCTTTCCTGGCACTCATAAGCAAGATTTAAACAAGCTATCACCTCAAAAACAAATAAATAAATAGATAAATAAACAAACAAAGAATAGGAAATAAGGTTAAGATGGGGGTACACCTCTATGACAGAATGCTTAGAATACATTGAATTTAAAAATGGGGGTGTGGCTTAGGTGGAGGGCTTGTCTGGCATGCTTGAAGACTCCATCTCAGGCAACCTCGCCCATAAAGAGATGAGGTGTGGGTGTGGGGCCTAGCATAGTAATGAGTTCTTGCTAAGCACACATGAAACACTTGCATTGGAGTCACACCAATGGATATGTATCAGACTTGAATGATGAATAATCTCTAAACAGGTACATAAGTGAGGCAGAGAAAACAAGGATGGGCAGCATAAAGACCTAATGAAAACACGAATAAGCAAAAGTACTGTTATTCTGAATGGAGAGTATGAAGATGAAAATATAAGGTGATGAATGCAGGAATTGGGAGGCTGCAGGGACACGTAGGGAAGCAGTTTTGGTTAACAAGGCCAGTGCAAGCTCACACTGTGCTTCTGTGACATTACAGCTGTACTTTTCCAAGATACCTTTACTGCCATCTACTGGAAACTGCTACAATAAACACACAAAGTGAGTAGGGAGTAACTGTGGTCAAAAGTATGCCTGTAGAAATACTAAGACAGCCTTGATCCTCAACGCCTCAGCCCAGAAAGTTTTAAAAATAAGTAAAACCCTAAAACTGAAATGACAAATGAAGCAACAGGAACAGCTGAAAGAGAACATCAAGACTAGCCTTAACCAGCACAAAAACTTGACAGAGTCAAGAAATAGATAGTGGCAGACAGCAGACACAGTAGCCATGGTATACAGCTTTGTAAGGAGTGTCTACATCACCCTGAGTTTACCAGAATACTGTAGGAAGATCTTGAGCAGAGAGCTATTCCAAAGGTGACTGGTGATCCTGCAGAGATGGATTCGGGATCAGGAAGAACTACAGGATAGACCAGGCTAGCATGGACTAAGAGACGGTAAACATCAGGACATGCTGTGAAGGCAGAACAGACTTCTCAGAAAATAGCCCAGTTGGTTCTATAGCTGGATATTATGAACTGAGATGGGGAAGGTTAGAGAAGAACATTTCAAGAATGAAGCAGAGGAAACCTAGTGCTTTGACATATTTACTGAGACAGCTATTGGAGCCAAAAATGGAAGCACTTGGGCTGGAGAGATGGCTCAGCAGTTAAAAGCACTGACTTTCCTGAGTTCAATTCCTAGCAACCACATGGTGGCTCACAACCATCTGTAATGGAATCCAATGCCCTCTTCTGGTGTGTCTGAACACAGTGACAGTGTACTCATATACATTAAATAAATAAATCTTTAAAAAAGAAATGGAAGCACTTCTAAGATTTACAGAGGTAATTGAACATTCCAGCCTGGACTCATCTGACCTGAGCAAAAAGTATACTTCATTTAGTAGTCTATCATCTAGAAATATGAAAAAGGAGCTAGCAGAGGAAACTGTTCAAAACCATCCTAATAAACAGGAAAAAACCTGAAAGAGTAGTGTCAGGGAAGCCACCCAAGTGCATGTGTTGAGGACAAAAGCTCAGTGTGGTGCAGTGTGCTTGTCATCGCTGCCTGCAGGAGGGGAGCAGCAGCATCTCAAGCTCAGGGACAGCTAAGGATGTGCCCAGAGATGTTGCCAAAAGTACATTAAACTGTGTCTGTCAAATGCCAGCTACCAGGTAAGAAAGATTTACTCCAGCAGACTCCAGTGACTCTTGTCATTATCAATGCAACATTTACAGAGTAGCAGGAGGGAACACAATCCAGTGGACAAAGCCAGGTAAGGTGGCATATACCTGTAATAAAGCACTCAGAGCCCAAGGTCAGAGGATCCAAAGTTCAAAGCCAGCCCAGGGCATATTATGAGACCCTGTATCAAAAATGAACGAAGAAAAGAAAGGAGGGGGAAAACTAAGAAGGAGGGAAGACAAAGGAACTGACACGAGTGGCTCTAAGAGAAAGAAGTCCTCCTCACTCTCCTTCTTTCTCTGTGCTGTCACATGAATGGGGAAAGCTGTGGGAAGGGCTACGATGCTGTCCAGATGGCTCAAGACAAGAAAGCACTTCCCAGACAAGCCAGGATTTTGTCCCCAGAACCAACCTAAAACTAAGAGAAAACGGATTCCTGAAGTCATCTTCTGATCTCTACATGTGTACTGTGGCACAGGTCTAAATATACATCATACGCGCATGTGCACAATCTCTCATACATTCTTTTAAAAATGATTTTATAAATTAAAAGTAGTAATCTATAAAGAAAGAAAATGTGTAACAATCATTCTGAAGATGGGCAAAGTGATTTTATAAGGAAAACAAAAGCAAGATGTATAGCATGGTGCAGTGTGCCATAGAGTGCCGAGCGTCCGTCCACAAGGCTCTGGGTTCTAGCCTACACAAACATTGACTAAGAACAGCTATCTACTACTTTGTCCTTCCAGCTCCTTACACGGGCAGTAACCACATACTCAGGCACTCCTTCCTTCCCACACATGACCCAGTGCCTTACCCACTGGAGCACAGTTTCCATGACCAAGTCCCTATCTACTCTGGAGTCAAGGTGTCTATGACTTTTGTATCTCTTGGTCATCTTTCTCTGTATCAGCTGCAAAGCTGCCAATGCCTCTCTTCAAATGGTGAACCAGAACCAGCCCTCCCCTTCTGATATGATCAGCACATACAGTGATAGTAATTTAACCACAACAAACGTAGATCACACACGTGGAACTGCTGAGATCTGGTTAAATTCAGCTCTCCTGCACTGAATCACTATTCTATCTCCAGCTCGGCCATCAATCACCTACAGACTGGCCTCTTCTAATACATTCTAGGCACAGCGACCTTCTCCTCTCTGGAGGCAAAGCTTTCCTTTGGTATGCTTAAAGCTATTTGTTTCCTGCATGTGTCTTGTAGCTTCATATGCTCATACGTCAGCTCTTTATATAATAGTATATAATAAATGTCGTGAATCTCAGTGAAGCATACATATTCTAGTTAACATCCCAAAGTTGCTCCTATAACTTCAAAAGTGCCACCACCCTTTTGCTAATATACTCTCATTCTTAACATCTTTATAAAAATTCATAGTTGTATCTGAACTATTTCATACTTACCTGGAGGATCAGCATTTTCTTCTCCTGGGGTGTCTGAAGTGGACAACAGCTATGAAATAAGAGAACACTTGACAGGTAAATCAGAAATCTCAAACAGTCTAAACAGCACAGTTGGAGATTTGCCTTGTTAAAATAGGACCTCACTCTGCTGCTGACTCATGGAAATCTTCCTGCCTCAGCTTTCCTAAGTAACAGGATTACTGGAGTGAGCCACCACAGCCAACCCATCAGACATTTAAGTAAATGTGCGCATCCTTTTGGAAACTCCAGGTATGCTAGCACACTCCTGTAATTTCAGCACTTATGAGTCTGAGGCAAGGGGCTGGAGAGATGGCTCAGCGGTTAAGAGCACTGACTGCTCTTCCAGAGGTCCTGAGTTCAATTCCCAGCAACCACATGGTGGCTCACAACCATCTGTAATATGAGCTGATGCCCTCTTCTGGTGTGTCTGAGGACAGCTACAGTGTACTCAGAATAAAATAAATCATCTTAAAAAAAAAAAAAGAGTCTGAAGCAAGAAGATCAGGAGTTCAAGGCAAGCCTCAGACAAGAAACCTTGTCCCAAAACTCTAAAATAAACACACACGTATACTTTACTTTGTTTTGCTTCATCATAATTATCATACAGCTATGCTTACACATTTATCCACATCGAGGTTAAAACTCCAGTGGATGGAGTTTCTATTTTAGAGAACAGGAAGATACAATAGTGCCGCCTCATTCCATTTGAAAAGTGATATTTCATTTGAGTAACTCTTCAAAGGTCTTAATTCCTATCAAGTTTTTGGTTTTTTTTTTTTTCTAGAAGAGACTAAAGAGACACTGAAGATACCCCTTTAACCACATTTAAAAACAAAACGGGAAAACAAAACAAAACCTCTGTACAGTGGCACGATTTAAGATTTTTCAAAAAACTAAAAGTAAAAAACAACATTTATAAAGACCTCTGAACAGCAAGCTAACAACAACTGCCAAGGATGCCATTACTGTAGCTACATGCCAGGTGACTTGAACTCCAGCTCTTCTAAGCATACACCCGACCTAGGTGTATCTTTCTTCCTAAATACATTCTGTTCATAACTACAATCCTTAAAATGCTATAAAAATTTAATAAACTCCAATTTTGCCTTAAAATTATGTAAATGAAATAAAAATAAATAACCACTTCTAAGATTTCTGTGATTATTATTTCATAGTATAGTTCAATGCTGTATTTTTGTTTGTATATGTATAAAGTATATGAACCTGGTCACATGGCTATGTGCATCTATGTGTGCACACTTGTGGAGGACAAAGGTAGACACAGGTGTATTTTTAAGACAAGGTCTCTGTCTCATTCAACCTGGAACTCACTGAATTATCTGGCCAGACCACTTGGCCAGTGATCTCCAGGGTTTCACCTGTTTCCAACACACCTGATGCATGCTGCCACACCCAGCTTTGTATGTGGTGCTGGGATCTGAGCTCAGGGCTTCATACTGCATAGTAAGCACTTTACCAAATAAGCCATCTCCCCAGCTCTCGAGGAAATTTTAAAATTGGTTTACCTGCTCAAGAAGATGAGGATATCTAGCTTGAATCTCATCAACAAACTCCTGACCCTTCATCCGTATCAAGAACTCACACCTAAAATGTGAAACAAAACTATTTTTAAGTACTTCATATCAAAAATAAACTGATTATTCTAGAAGAATGACTTTCAAATCATCTTCATTAGACCCCACAAAAAACTGTTTATATCACTACCGAGTAGTTTATATATACCGAGTCTAACAGAATCCAAACTGTCACACATTACATTCTCACTGTGTTGGTGCATTCCATTATTTTTCTGTCTTCCTCTTATACAACAACAAAAAAGTCTGCACTTAGAAAGGGGCAAAGTTGGCATGTGAGACACAATGTCATAGACATTGTCTTCTTCATGCTTAACACAATTTCAAAACCTATTAGTCATTACCCATTAACACTTCATCGTTCATAACAGAGTAACACACAATCCTGCCCCAGAGTTCACTCTCCTATCTTCAAGTACAATACACCATACTCCCTCCAGGAAACACATAAGCAAGTTATTTCTCCACATTCTCCGCAATGTTTCTCAAGTATTTAACCTACTGAGACTTCTTGGAGGAAGTTCAAGTAACATCTCCTTCCGTTCTACTCCCTTTTGAAAAACTGTTAAACATCTGGATTCCACATGCAAATTCTTTTTAAAGCACAAAACCTTGACCTATGCTACATACATAAAATAAACTAAGGATGAACCATAACCTTAAATGCAAGAAAAGTCCCTTTGTCCTTCGTTATCTCAGAATGTTCTATCTGGACAAGAAGGCTGGAGAGAGCGCTCAGTGCTCAAGAACACTTGCTGCTGTTAACACAGAAGCAAGATCAGCTACAGCACCCACGGCAGGAAGCTCACAACTTTCTGAACCTCTAGGTTCAGGGGACTCAATGCGTCTGGCCTTTTTGGGCACCTATACTCCGGTGCACATTCCCACATGCAGTCACATGCTGTGATGGAGTTTTATGTCAACCTGACATAAGCTAAAATCATCTGAAAAGAGGGAACATCAATTGAAAAATGCCTGCATAAGATGCAGTTGTAAAGCACTTTTTATAATTAGTGACTGATGTAGGAGGCCCCAGCCCATATGAGTGGGGAAACCCCTGGGCTGGTGGTCCTAAGTTCTATAAGAAAGCAGGCTAAGCCATTCATAGGAGCAAGCCAGTAAGTAGCACTCCTCATGGCCTCTGCATCAGCTCCTGCTTCCATTCTCCAGCCTGCTTGAGTTCCTACCCTGACTTTTATGATAAACTGTGAAGTGGAAGCATAAGCCAAATAAATCCTTGTTTATCTGCTTTGGCCTAAGTTTCTGTGTCTCATCACAGCAATAGTAACCCTAACTCAGACACATACGTAATTAAATAAGGTAAAAAATCAATCTAAAACAAAGCAAAGGAGCCTGGTAGTAGAGCTCAGATACAGAGCCTCTGCTTAGCATTCAGAAGCACATAATTTAATATTAAAAAACAGAATTTTTATATAAGGACCAAAACCATACTCCATACAAGATAAAACTGATAAAAATGTCATCATCAAAATTAAAGACATCTGCTCTTCAAAAGACTCTGTTAAAGAAATGAAAAAAAGCACTGTGGAGATGGCTCAGTGGTTAAGAGCATCTGCTGCTCTTCCAGGGTACCCGAGTTGTTTTCCAGCATCTATGTGAAGTGGCTCTCAACTGCTTGCAACCCTAGCTCTAGGAATTTTTATGCCCTCCTCTGGTACCTGCACTCACATGGAATACATTCAGACAGACATATACACATAAGTAAAAATTAAAAACCTAAAGAAGTGAAAATACTGATGGATCAGCATGACTCCATCTTAAGGATGGGAGCCATTTTGCTATAAGGTCAGAACAAGTTTATTTCCTTTTGCTGAAAATTTCAGGTTGACCTGCTTTAACCTGTTTTTGGAATTTAACATGTTCCCCAAGCTATGGCGTTTGAGTCACACATTGAATATACCCCGATAAGATGTTCTTCCAAATAATTTTAAAATGTTCAGCCAAGTTCCTACATAACCAAAATTCCTCTGGAAATTCCCCAACGCTTGAAAACCTCTAAGTTGTGCAGGGTTTTCTTGTTGTCTTTGCTTTTTGACTATATAAACTCTACCTTCTCCTGTGTTCAACGATAGCTTTTCAAATCCTACTTTAGAGAGTTTTCAAATCCCACTTTAGGGAAATAACCCTGAGAAAATAAAGCTTGCTTAATTTGACTTGCTTAACTTGCTTAAAGAATTTGGGTAATGGTCTTCACTGCCATTAGGTGGGAGTAACAAATATAAAACCACATATTAAAGGAGAGTTTGTAAGAAACTATCAGCTATAGGGCAAACTGAAAGCTATCAGTCTTCTAATCGCTGTAAAAAACCAAGACAAACAGCCCAGGGAGGACTCAGCAATCCAATTCACATAAAATGAAGACAAAAATGTGGGAACCACACAGAAAAAAAAAAGAAAAAGAAGGAAGCAGGGAAGAGGAGCCACAGAAGGCCCACTGGGGAGGATAGGCTTACAGAGGAAGCAAGAAACAGGTGAGCTCAAAGGAGGACAGGAATATTTCTATCCGCAGTCTGTAGATACCACCATGACCCTAAGGGCCTGCTTTGGTGAGAAACCGAGAACCTTTGCCGCTGAAGCTGTCAACAGCCTTGAGATAATCATAGATTTCCTGAGGTCTCTCTAGTGTGTACTGGCACTGAGCTCAGAACCTCCTCTGCCAGTTTTCACCACTACTACTGCTGAGGAACCCTGGAGACAGATGCTGTTATGCCTCTCCTTTAGAAAGGAACCACCTTCCTCCCTAAGTCATGCTCTGTACACCACAGTTCACCCTACATCCATTCTGCTCCTGTGCTCTAAGCCCCAGCCCTACAACTGTTCTGCACACACCAGTGCTCCGGGATCCACTTTGGCTACTCAATGTGTCCTTGTCTTAGACATTGGCAGCAGCACAGAACAGCAGTCAGTGCTCACTCTTGAACTCCCTTCCTCCTTCCCTCCCTTTCCCCTCCCTCCTCCCATCTACCTTCACACACACACACACACACACACACACACACACACACACACACAGCTCTGTGGCTGCTCTTCAGGCTCTAAAACTTCAAGACACCACTGCTACTGCCCCACCATTGTGAGAACACTCATGAGCCAGAATAGGAATCAACATAGGTCCCTGGCCAGGATGCTTTCCACAACTAAAGTAGATTAAGTCTTTCAGCCTTGCCACCAAATGCTTTGATGCTGCCCAGGACACTGAGAATCCTCACTGACAATGACTTCAGATAACAGAGCTAATGCAGCTCTGGACTTCCCAAGGAGTCAGAGTTTATACCCTTTAATAAGCCCATGTCCACACCCCAACACCCACCCACAGTCTTTGCTCAACACAGTCACAAAATCTAAAAAGCAGAGTTAGAAGAAACTTAAAACAATAAAGGAACAAAATAATTTTCCAAAATCCAACTCAAAAGAAGAAAGAGTACTTAGATACTGCCAGATAAGCAATTAATACTCATCTTCAGGGAGCTTTGTGAGTTTCAAGAGAATAAGACAGATAATGCAAACTTATAATGAAAATACAACACACAACTCTCAAGAGCATAAGAAAGTAAAAAATTTACAGGTGAAGACAAATAATGTAATCGCCTTCAGATTACTGTAGACTGTAATGGTAGAATGCAAATCATTCAATTCTAATGCAAAGGTTAAAAAGAAAACACTGGGGCCCAGATTCAATCCTTAGTACTACCCCAGCACAGTGCAGAAAGGAACTGCAGCTGTAACTCTAGTTACAATTGTCCTGTTAAAAAACAGTATGCTTATACTGTCTTTATTATAGCTTCATTATAGCTATCATATGAAAAATAAACAATGGACATAACTTAAAAAGATAAGTAACATCAAAGCCATGCACTATTGCAAAGTTTTTGTATACAAATAAAATCAAGTGACCAGTTTACATAACAGACTGCTCTAAGATCTGATTGAGGCAATTCTTCAGCTGAGGTTCCCTCTCCCCAAGTGACCCCAGTTTGTGTCAAGTTAACAAAAACTAACCCAACAAAATAATAAAGACATATAGTACAATACGTCCTGACGACTGCACATTTGCTCCTTCTCCACTCTTCTAAAGATCTGCTTAGGAAGCACCTACGTATGTGATACATAAGTGATCTGTATGTACTAAAATCTAGTGGTGATCAACTGTTACAGTTTGTCTTTACTGAGATCAAAGATAGTCACAGCTAAAACCTGTTCAGAGCTGCACTGACAAAAAACATTATTTCCCTTAGTTAACTATTTAAAACACAGTGTGGAGAATTTTGTTTTACAAAGTGTAACAACTTAAATAGAATTTAAAATGTTTTTATATTTTAAACAGTTAAACTTCAAATTATAACATGTAAGTCCACTTAAATGATCAAATCATTCAAAACTCTGACATTTCAATCCAAACTCGAGACATTAGCAAACTTAAGCTTTTTCCAGAGCACCAATGTCTGTAACATTTTAATCTGAGAATTCTTGGATGCTACAAGGCAGACTGGAGGCAACATGCTTTCCTGTACTATTTATTTTTTCAACAATGAAATTCATTGCTAGCACAATATTATGGAGAACATGTTGGTTTGTTTTCCAAACATGTTCTTAAAAACCAAACTCCAAGTGATTCTGAAATGACTTGCCAAAAGTGTTGCATTAACAGAAGGCTTAAAATAAACTCTACAGACCTTCAAGATGGCTCAGCATGTAAAAGTGCCTGCCACAATCCTAATGACCTGCATTCTATCCCCCAAACCCACACAGTGGAAGGAAAGCTGTTCTTTGACCTCTAGTACCGATTTATACATGTTTTTTTCCTGCCCAATAATTTTTTTGCGTATTATTTTTTCAGACAGGGTCTTGCTACCTAGCTGAGTTGGTCTGGGTTCACAATGTGGCCCAGGCTAACGCTGACCTTGGAACACTCCTGCTTTGGACTCCAAACAGCTAGAATTATAGGGTGTACCACCACATCTGGCCAAAATTAATACTTTTAAAGTATAAATATATCCGTTTTCAGGACAAGAACAACAACAACAACAAAAAGAGTCAAAATCTATCTTTTTGCTTTGGTTTTGGAGGCAGTTCTAAGTAACCCAGGTTGGTTTCAAATTTGTGTCAGACTCCTGAATGTTAACATTACACTGGATCTGACATACAAAAATTCTGATGATTCTTCATAATTTTTTTAAGACAGGGTCTCACAATGCAATCCTAGCTGACCTGAACTTGCTATGAAGACCAGGCTGGCCTTTGCTCACAAAGAATGCATGCTTCTGCTCCCAGTGGCTGAGATTAAGCATGAGGACATGGGTACACTACCTGCCCTATCATATTTTTTAACTACTTATATTTTAACAATGTAAATAGTTACATCAAAATTCCTGTTCATCATGTACCATACAAAAATGACTAAAGGTCTCTGTGACTAAATGACTAAAGGACTAATTCTCTCAAGGAGTCCAACAATTCCTATTATCATGAAAGGCATGCACAGGTCCAAGCTCTCTTTACTGTATGACTCCACGTATATGTGTTGTGGTTGTGGTACCTAGAGTAGATAGATTCAGAGATAACAAGCAGAAGGGTAGGTGCCAGGGGTTGTGCTTGCAAGGGTATGGGATACAGTTTCAGTTTGAGAGCATAAAAAGACTGGAGATGACTAAAAAACAGTACATATGTACTTTACACTACAGAAGAATACATTTTAGATGAGTAAATTAGTAAATTTTGTGTATATTTTAACACAATAAATAAAAACACCTAACAGCCCATTCATTTTTAGAAATGAGGTCTAAGTTCACATAGCCGATCAGTTTCAAATACAAATTTCTTATTTTATTTCACTAACAACTGTGCTCCTAAATGTATTCTAAGCAGTAATAAAAATTAAGAGGTTAGGGATGTAGGCAAGAGAACTTGTCGACCAGATGTGAGACACTGGGTTCAATCCTCCATATCACAATAATAATCAGTTTTAAACATTTTTAAGAACCAATTACCAAGGCTGGCAGTAGTGGTACAGACCTTTAGTACCAGCATTCAGGAGGCAGAAGCAGGTAGATCTCTCTGAGTCCAAGTCAAGACTGGTCTACATAGTGAATTCCAGGAAAGCCAAGGCTACACCGAGAAACCCAGTCTTGAAAACAAACAAAAGGAACCAATTACCTTGGAAACCATTTGGCATGTTCTATCCAGGGGTCATCTCCAGGTTCCCAACATCTCAAGCCACCATCACAACAAAAACATTTGACATCATCATTACGATCCACGTAATAAAATCCAGCACTTGCAAGCTGCTCAGGCTGAACAGGAACACTAGATGGCCAGTACAGAAACGTCCTCATTCGAGCAGAGTGTGTCTGCATACTTAGATTTGATATGCTAAACCTCTGTGTTTCTGAAGTATTTTCCAGAAATGGACAGTGGGGAAAATGTCTCCGGTGCTCTGACATAGCATCATCCTTCGGCTCCCAGTTGCTCAGTTTCCCGCCACAGGCAAAGCAAGCCACCCTGTCTCCAGGCCCTATGTAATAGAAGCCGGCTCTGGCCAGCTCTGCTGGTGACAGAAAACTTAATGGCCACATACTGTAAGTAAGAAATCTGGCCTCTTCTGTACTCATGGCATAGCTGCCGGGATTCATCCTCGATGAGAGGTCTTCCACTGCTCTAGAATTAAGAGGGTTTGAGGACAGGTTGGAGGGGCTGCCACCTTGTTCCAGAGGTGACGAATGTGCAAATCTACTTTTCACAGGAGACATGTTCTTAGATGGAGACTGCAGACTGGATGAAAGCAGAGTCTGTACAAAGCTGCAGCTGGGATACAACTGTCTGTGCTTTTCAACAGGACTGTCTCCTTGTTTCCAGTTATCCAACATCAGGCCACAGCAGAAGCACTTGACTTTGTCATTCACACCTGTGTAATAAAAGCCGGCACGAGCCAGACTCCTTTCCGAGACAGGAACTCCCCTGGGAAAAGCCGAGTATGTGGACATTCTGTAGAGTTCACATGAAAAGTCATACTTCATTTTTTCTTTACTCTCCTTTGTCCAATTTGACAAGATTGTGCTATTCTCCATTATACTTTTAGTTTTTTGGTGAAAGGTACCTTGGACCTCTGGGAGACAGTTTTGTCCATGAATAGAAATAGTATTTCTGACAGCTTAAACTTCCTATGAAGCTTCTCACCGCTTCATATTAGATTTCTACACCACAGACAGGAATGAAATAGCAGGCATCTAACTGCATAGAGTCACTGTCTTCTGATTGGACTGATGAGCTGACACTCACACAGGACAAACCTGTCTCACTGGCATGTGACACTATTCAGGACTCTTTGGGGTCACATAAATTCTTCTGGGTAACCTAAGAACTATTTACCCATTACTTCTTACTACTAGTTATGAAGCCTAGATACTAGGGCATATGCTACTAGAGCCTAGTATTCAGGCTCTTTTCCCTTATAAGGACTTAAAAATATGACATCTGAACTACTTCATTTCCTACCAAATGGAAGGAACTGAAGTCTGCATCTGGTATTTCCTAAGAGTCACACACTCATCATCATCACAGTGGGTTAACTGCAGTTAACTTCCAGGGAAGTCAACACAGCTCCATGAAGACTATAGGATTCGTGGTAAAGGAACTGTGCTTAAAGCTTAAACTGTTACTCTCTCACTGTTAAATCTTATCTATCACCCCCTTAATTCTGTATCTATCATTTTAATACATCTGGTCAATAGACAGCATTTTGTACATAAACTTAGACTGCATTTTATAAAGTCCACCTGTGTTTAAGGCCCATTCCCACTATAAGTCTGTTATCATAAAGAATGAATCCATTCAAGACATGGCTTTCTTCTGTTATCACAAATACCTAAGAACCTGTTTTACCACAGCCTTTCTAGTCTTCTTTTTGAAAATTCAGTATTTTATATAACTATTCATACACAAAAGCACACCCCAAATCAAACTGCATCTTCTTAGAAAATTTTTCAGATTTCCATGACTGGGCTCATTTCTAGAGAAACATGGGAGAACATGAAGACTCTTGAGGGGTATAAATCTGAAATTAAAAAAAAAAAGATATTTCAGAAAACTAATTGCACAGAACTGTCCTCTTCAGTTTATTCAGTAATGTCTAAAAATGACACGCTCTAGATAATACATCTTGACTATGGCAGTTTCTCACATAACCAGTCTCCCTAGAAAGGGTCTAAATCAAGACACACCACTGCAAAAGCATTCCCAAAGTACTACTTATGCTTGTCTTTAAAATGCAAAGCTTTGTATAGTTTAAAAAGTAAAACTTTGAAAACAAATGGACATTCCCACTTGTCAAAAATTGGTCCCCAATTTTAAGTTTGTTCATTTTATATCTTTTTTATTTACTATTAAAAAAAATGTACCGTATTTCATGAACATCTTTTTTTTTTTCTTTTTTCTTTTTCAAGACAGGGTTTCTCTGTATAGCCCTGGCTGTCCTGGAACTCACTCTGTAGACCAGGCTGGCCACAAACTAAGAAATCTGCCTGCCTCAGCCTCCCAAGTGCTGGGATTAAAGGCATGCATCACCACTGCCTGGGTGAAGGTCTTTTTTTTAAAGGGGCAGGGTCTTATTCTGTAGCCTAGGCTGGCTAGCAAGTCAATGTAACTTAAGCTGGTGTTAAAACTTGTTGGAATTCTCCTGCCTCAGCCTCCCAAGTGCTAGGACCACACTACCACCTGGCTCCTTTCATTTTCTGATTTAAAGACATTTTGATCTGGCACTTCACTGGAGACAAAAGGCACCCATGAACAGTGGAATGATGGTCTGGAGGGCTACTGAGATAGCTCCTCGTTAGAGCACTTGCCTTGCAGGTAAAGAACCTAGGTTTAATCACAAGAAAAAATATGTATTTTTTTACATTCTATTAAAACATTAAATTAAAATGTATAATGAATAATACAAATATACATAAAGTATAATATATAAAATATATTTGTAGACATAAATATATGTAAATATATAATACACAAAATATACAATATAAAATAAATAATATGTAATAGACACTTTATATTAAAATATAAATATTTCCTGAGATTCCTGAGACATACCTGCAATTTCAATCTCAACACTTGGAAGATCGAGGCAGGATGAGAGGCTCCTGCCACACAGAGCAATTGAACTAGCCAGGACTAAATTGGCCAAGATACAGGCACTGGGAAGAGCTCATTAACGCAATCCGTGAAGGACAACCATTTCCTAACAATTCCAAAGCAACCACCACAGGTAGCATCTCAAAACCAAAAATGTACAACTGTCGGTAAATCAGTGGCCTGGGACGAGGCTACTACTACACGTGTGGCTTAACTACACTAGGGGTTACAACTCCAGCAACCACTCAACCGACACTGCTCTATGCCCACGGGGCGACACGTAGATCGGAAAGAGAAGACCTTTCCCAAGTAAACGAAACGTCTCACACGTCTACTGGGCGAAAGCAGTAACCGAAACGACAATCGTCATCTCCCTGCCGCACAACTGTCTTGATTTAAAGGCATTAAAGAAATGCCGCTCTGATTTAAAGCTTAAAAGTCTGCAGAAAATCTGAAGAAAAAGCCGAGGTGGCGCACACCAGTAATCCCAGCACCTAGGAGGTTGAGGCAAGAGGACTGCCGCAAGTTCGAGACTAGCCTGGGCTGACTCAAAAAATAAACCGAAAGGAAAAGAAAGCAAAACTGTAGTACACGTACAAGCCCAAGGACTGGGGCAGCGAGCGGGTGTCGGACGGCCCTGAGAACACAGGCGTTCTTACAACGCCGGGGCCGAAGGAAACCCGCTCGCCCGCCCAACCGTAGAGAGGCACGTTTGCCCGCTCTGCCGAATGGAGCCGTACTCACCGCGGAGCCGGGCCTCCAGCGCCGGGAAGCTGAGGCGCCTGACTGCTGACCCGCAGCCTTCCCAAAAGCCCCTGCGGCCATGGGGACGTTACGGTGACGCGCGGTGACGTCAGCAGGCGCGCAGCGCACTGTTGGAAACGCGTGAGAAGAGAGGCGGGACTGTAGACCAGTCGCGCGCGACTGCGCTTGCGCATGCGTGCTCGGGATTTGGACGCTAACCGTTCTGGCCCCAGGGACCGGGACGAACAAGGCTAGGCCTTCGGGAGCGTCCATCCCTGCCCGCCTGCTTCTGCTGGGTGTTCCGCACTTTGACATCAAGTGCCTCTTGATATCAAATCAAGATAACATTTGATTTGATAAATGTTTTTACAAACAAAGCATTTTAACATTCAGTGCCCCTTTAAGGGCGACAACCACGAGCCGCAGCTCGTAGCCGAGGAAGCCGTGTAAAAGTGGGCGTTTTCCCGCCTCATGCCGCCAGGGTCCTAGAGACAGGCACTAGGGCAAACGTGGCCTCGTAGCTAAGACGGCTCAGGCTCGTGAGCTGGCCTCGAAACGCCTGAGTAAAATGGAATGCACTCGTGTACATGTACATTACATATAACTTTTTTTGTAAGATGGTCTTTAACATTTTTGACAAGTGGGCTCCTCTGGCCGGCCGGCATGGGGACGCTCACCTTGAATCCTAAGAGTTCAAACTCAACCGTGGCTTGCACACCTGGCTACCTGTTGGAGCGGGGAGGCAGTTGTGCATTATAAAATTATTATTTTTAAAAAGTGGTCTTGCAGGAGACCCAAATTAAGCGCAGCAGGCCATAAGCAAAAAGATAAGGAAAAAGCTGGGGACTAGTTTGGAGGGAGGCATAGGAGGGTTAAGAGTATAATGGGGGAGAGTCTGATTAAAGGGCACTATCTGTGATGAGATTGTAGAAAAGTAAGTTTAAAACCTTGACTACATTGCTCACGAGCATTTCTGTCTCCCCCCATCCCCACCCTCCGCTGCCTTTCCCATACAGAAAGTACTGCAAAAGCATTAGCATGCAGGAAAGGACTTTCCGGTGCTTTTCCCGCCGCCTTCCCCGGTTGGGTGCTTTGTTATGCTTATTTGGTTGTTTGGGGTTAGTGTTTGCAGTTTGTTTGTTTGTTTGTTTGTTTGTTTGTTTGTTTAAGATTGGATTTTATTCTAGGGCCCAGACTAATTTAGGATTTAGCATCCTACCTCAGCCTCCTGCGCGCTGATTAGAAATGTAGGCTACTACCAGGGAGGTTTCTACGGTTTAATTTACTTTGGAGACGGTCTTAACCAATGAAATCAGGTCTTCTCTCCGGGGGAACTCCAGGGGCAAACATTTTAAAAACTTAGAAATAACAGACCACTAAATTAGGCTGCCAGGGGAATTCCGGGACTCTGAACCGTTTCCCATATCCTTTCCCCGTCATTTCTGCCTTTAAGTCGGTCAGTCACAGAACAAGCAGTCTTCTGTTCTAAATGCTGATAGTAAAAAGAAAGTATTCATAACAGTTTGTGATACAGAGAAAAGACGTGCCAAAGATCCCAATGACTAAACTTCCAACAGTACACATGGTGCCAATGCCTTGTTCAAGTCACTACTTCTCGGAAAGTTACAGAAAACATTCCTAATATGTGTGGGAATCTAGCAAGACCTGTGCACATTGAATTCAAGAATATGTCTCTTTCAGTTCTTGTCCTGACCAATAGTGAATCTACTTCAGTATTTAGGACATTTTCAATGTCCCAAACTCAAAAAGTTTTGGAACTTATTACTTCTTTTTTAATATTGTATAATCTTGGAGTCCAATTGTTTATTTTGTTGACCATTTATTCAACTAAGACTTTCCTTATTGTCCATGTAGAGTTTGGTAATTTTGAAAAATATATATTATATTTTATTATAATATAATACATACATATATATGTATATATATATGTTGAGGTGGTTATCATGACATCTTCCATTTTTATATACCAAATATATACAGTTAAAGACAAATTTGAAGGAAAATACGATTGAAAAGATTTCTACAACATAAATTGTATAATAAAAGCAGGGGCTGGAGGGACAGAGTACTTAAGAGAGCTGACTGCTCTTACACAAGACCCTGGTTCAATTCCTAAGAATTACACTGTAACTAGAGCTCCAAAGGATCTGGCACCCTCTTCTGGCCTCCGTGGGCACTGCATGCAAGTTAATGCAGTGCACAATTACATTCAGGCAAAACACACATAAGATACAATATACAAATGAATAAAAAGTGTAAGTCTGCACGTTCTTCGTCACATGCCTTTCTCCGCTTGCTAAATCTCAGAGTCTGCTCAGTATTAGCACACAGAGACAAATGCAGTAGTACTGGTGACACACAGTGTAGGCACAGCATAATACATTCAACTTAAATATTTGATTTAAAAAGCAATAAAGAGGCAGGGTTAGTGGCTTAGGTAAGAAAATTGTTTCAAGATCAAGGCCAGCCTAGCGGGTGGGAGGAGTACGCACGGTGAGAGAAAAAAGAAAGAGAGGGGGAGAGGCCAAAATGTCTGGATTACACTCCCACTCTGTGGGGAAGGGCAGCCCAACTCCTGGGATGGGAAGTTCAAGGTTAGGGGCAGTATGTACCAGGTAAGGACTGAGGGATGTTGGGAGAACCTGCAGGCCAGGTCTGCTTTGACGTGTAAAATATGTATCTCAGAGTCCTTCGTCCCAGGTCTGAAACCAAACATCTAGTTGTACAATAATCACTTGTTTTGTTTTGTTTTGGTGGCATTGGCGATGGACCAAGGGCTTTATGAATCCTAGGGAAGCATTCTATAACTAAGTCAAATCCCCAGTCCCTTTAGTTTAACTTTTTAATTTTGTTTATGTGTGTGGGGGGTGGTATGTGTATGTTCATGCCACGTGGAAATCAGAAGATAATTTACAGGGGTCAGATACCTATGTTCAGTCAGTCACATTTGTGGCCAATGCCTTTACCCACTGAACCATCTTACAGGCTCAACACAGAGTATTTCAATGAAGTTTAAACAGATTGTTCTATTCTGAATGAGAATAAATGTTTCCTATGTACCAGCTATATAGGTCATGTTTTGTATATAAGAATTAAGCTAATATAAAGCTAGGTGTGATGGCACACATGTGTAACCCCTCCAATTGGAAGATTGGTACAGTAAGACTTTGAGTTTTAGACCAATCTGGACCCTGTAGCAAGTTCCAGAAAAGTTTAGGTGATGAATCTGTCTCAAAAATTTATTTAAAAAATTAAATTATGTAAAACAGCTGTAGAGATGGCTCAGTAAAGAGCACTGACTGCTCTACCAGAGGTCCTGAGTTCAAATCCCAGCAATGGCATGGTGGCTCACAACCATCTAATGGGATCTGATGTCCTCTGGTGTGTATGAAGACAGTTTATTCATATACATAAATAAATAAATCTTTTAAAATTTTATGAAAACAAATAGAATGTCATTTAGTAATGTTGTTGGTGAAAAAGCCTCAGTCATAAAGACAGCCAAGTGAGACCTCTACCCAGTGTTTCTAAGTTCTTGTCACAGGAAAAAAGAATTCATAGACAAGACAAACTAAGCAATTAGAAAGAAGTTTATATGCTTACGGGATGAGTGTGTGTGTGTGTGTGTGTGTGTGTGTGTGTGTGTGTGGTGTGTGTTGCCCACACAAAAGCCACAGGAGGAAGCCAGATGTCCTGCTCTGTCACTCTCCAGCTTATTCCTTTGAGACAGAGTCTGTCCCTGAACCTGGTGCTAGACTGATGGCCAGCAAGCACCAGGGATCCTGTCTTCTGTCCCACATTACTGGAGTTGCAGGCATTTGTGTAGCCATGCTCAGCTGTTTCCTTGGGTCCTAGGGATTTGAACTCAGGTTCTCAAGCTTATAAACAAGCCCTCTTAGCCACTGAACTATCTCTCTACCCTAAGTGTGGCTTCTTTAGAGAGAGTAGAAGCTGCAAGAGGAGGGCAGGAAGGACAGGGGTAGGTGGTAGAGAGGAAAAGGATTCAGAACAAAGCAGAATGACATATGTGGATGAAAACAAGGGGAACCTCCATTAAGAAGGGTTTGTGTCTCTTGGCAAAAACTTCCGAACTGCCTGCACATGGACTAGAACACCTTTTCCACGGAACTCTCATAGATCGTGAACCCTGTTGTCATGATGAATCTTCACTGTCAAATAGGCCAATCTGTATGTGCCTGGGGTCCTAGACTTTAGAAGCTGAAAGCAGGGCAGCAGGAGGTCACAGTCATTCTTGGCCACACAGAATCTGAAGTCAACATTAGATTCGAGACACTGACAATCTAGAGGGAAGATATAATAAAGCTCTGTAAAGGGGGAAGAGACCGCGGCTTCAACTCCACACAGTGGAGATGGCTGTGACTGTATACCTTACACAGGGTTAGAGGATGAAAAAGCACTGAAAGAATGCGCGGAAGGAAGAAGGCAGCAGACCAGCTCCACTGGGGGTGGAAGGTGAGTCTTGAATCTGTTGCCAGGAGTCAAGAGGGTACCAAGCAGTTGAGAATCTTCCTGAAGTAAGTCAAAGGCTTCTGCTAAAATCAGGCAGGTGGAATATCATGGGGGCATGGGGCTGGGGGAGGGTGGGGATGAGGATCAGACTCTGTGAAGAATGCTCAGGGAAGAGTCTGAGATTTAAGGAGGTTGGATGACAGTATGCCCCAGATAACATGTATACTTCCCAGAATATCTAAAATATTCTAATTAAAAAGAAGTTCAATCCAGGCAGTGGTGGCGAATGCCACTTGGGAGGCAGAGGCAGGTGGATTTCTGAGTTCGAGGCCAACCTGGTTTACGGAGTGAGTTCGAGGACAGCCAGGGTTACACAGAGAAACCCTGTCTTGAAAAAAAAAAAAAAGAAATTCAAACAAGCAGAATCCTAGACATTACAAATCTGTAAAAATATGGCTTCATTAGAATTCTTTATCCCAATTTTCATTTATTTTCCATACAATAATAATCTTAAAAAAAGAAAACACGTATTATAAGACTGTTTGTTTATTAAACCTTTCAAGTAAGAGCATGACTAGGTGCAAGGTCCTGCTGCAACTGGGGTCTGTGTTGACATCCATGGCCCACGTGGCCCCTGAAGGCCATGCCGATCATGGTGCCACCTGAAACCATGTGGGCTGTACTCCTGCCAGGGGCCATACTGATTTGAGTGGCCTGTCCTGGAACCTGAGGCCATGGTGTTATCTGTGGAGGCTGTTCCACGGAGACTCTCCTCCAAGATGACTCTAGTCTGTGCCAAGTTGACAAAACAAACAAACAAATGCACGCTAACCAGGTTAATTTCAGAAAGGGTTTTGTTCAGCTGTTTCTCTTATTTTGAGTCATGATGTCAAACTCTAGCCTAGGCTGCCCTAGAACTCATTATAAAGCCTACACTACCTTCAAACATATGCCACTTCCACCTCCAAGGGCAGAGAGGACAAATAGAAACCAGCACATCGAGCTCCAGAAATACTATTTAAAGGCTTACATAGTAGATGTTAATCATTTACTATGCATTAGAATCTCTGCAAGTCTCATTTTAAAACTAAACTTGAAGCCCAGCGGTAATTGTGCTGAGCTCTTGTACGAGAGCCCATCTGTTCTCTTCTTACAGCCTGGCTTGAGATCTCTACATTAAAACCTAACCTAACCCAGACTTGAAGTTTTACACCTCCCATTGCCCTGCTCAGATTACTGTCAACTTCTCAGCTGACCTCTACAGACCCTCTCATCTGACCTGAGACCTGAGGACCTGAAAGAATGGGGCTATAGTCTGATGTCATAGACAGCCTTCAGTTTCAGTGTACTTTTATACATGAATGTAACAAAGAAAGCAGTACTCCAAGGGAGGCTGTTTGAGTTCAGAGAAACAGGATCAGAAAAACATGTAAATAAATGTCAGTTAGCACATACTAAATGTTAACAGAACAGCCCTTTCCCAGAACTTTCTCAGGACTGACCACTTTAAGCACAGTTGCTTGGCAAGTACTATAGATTATATCTGGGAAAGAAACAAAGCAAAGCGGAAGGCCATATCAGATTCATGATACACTCACAGACCAGTTGGGTTTAGCTATGATCTAACAACCAACAAGATTAAACATGTCTTATGAATTGAATATAAATAGTTGTCACAGGAGGCATGAAACTGTGTCCAAAAACAATCCAGGGGACAAAATGCACCAGATGTAAAAGGACCTCTGCTTCTCTTCCTGGAGCCTCTCTCGAAGTTGCCCAAGGCATTGTCCACCATGGGTCATTCTTTTCACCTTGTTTCAACAGATTAGCCATTTAGAGCCCTCCTGATGTTTAATACCCAATAAAACTACACTTGGGGCTCTAAAGACCATCGCTGCCCTTCCTGAGGCGGTCAAGCATAAAGATATCTTACCGACCTGGGGCTCCACTTGGCTTGAGCGACACATATACTACTACCAGAACAATGTGTCTAGCAAACCTGAAGCAAGCTAGGTACTCCCTCTTGCATCAGGCTGCACAGATACCTGCTTAAAACAACTGAAATGAGTTCATTCTTTTCGAAACCTCTTGATAATGTCCATTTCTATTCAGCTATACCCCAAAACAGGAGAAATGGGCCAACTGGCCTAGACTGGTTTTGGGTTGATGCTCAGTAAGGCACTGTATCCTTTGAGTGATCTTACAGGGAAAATCCCCTATTTACTATCTTATGTTAGATGTTCATTTGATTAAAATCAGATGCATCATGGGAAGGAACATGCAGTGATCGAAGGCTTACATAATCCAATCCTGTCAGTCAAAATAGGGAACCCTTACCATGGCCTTTGCAACCAAGTTCCTTCTTCAGTTGAAACCCACAAAAGCCCCAATCAATGGGGCCTTGAGTATTCACACTCACACTGCCCACTGTTACTCTTGACACTATTGCTTTGTGGCTATTTTATTCTCAATAAGATACTCAAAAATCTGCAGACTCCTAACCCAGACCCAGATCACCAATACCACACTGAAGTTCCTCAGTCCAGGCCCTCCATCTTGCTGTTGAGCCAGGCATATAGACAGGAAAGACCCTGGTCTGACTTTCTTCTGAAACTTCTCCCGTCATCTTCCTGTTTGAATTGTGTCTCCATGCATGTTTCTAAAAGGGCTTCCCCTATGAGGGACTTCCTGTTTGACATGCTATCTGTCCGGTATATCCAAATAAGGCTCCTTGCATACTCTGCCACGATCCTGCTTTGCTCTCTGTTGCTGTAATAAAACAGTAACTAAAACTAACTTGGGGAAGAAAAGATTTACTTTGCGTATAGGTTAGAGTTTATTATTTAGGGAAGCCAAAGCAGGAACCTGGAGACAGGAACTGAAGCAAAGACCATGAAGGAACACTGCTTAACTGGCTTGCTTCCTAGGTTTGCTCAACCTGCTTTCTTATACCATCCAGGACTCCTACAGTAACTGGCCACTAAGAAAATGCTTTACAGGAGCTGGAGAAATGGTTCAGTGGTTAAGAGCACTGACTGCTCTTCCAGAGGTCCTGAGTTCAATTCCCAGCAACCATATGGTGGCTCACAACCATCTGTAATGGGATCCGATGCCCCCTTCTGGTGTGTCTGATGGCAGCTACAGTGTACTCATATACATTAAATAAATAAATCTTTTCTAAAAAATGCTTTACAGATGTGCCCACAGGCCACTCTGATGGAGGCCACACTTCCACTGAGAATCAATTTACCCAGGTGTGTCAACTTGACACTGAAGCTGGAACAGTCATGAGCATATACTTCCTTTGCTTAGCTCCCAAATCTTTGAACTTAAGGGCGGCTCTTCAGGCAAGTGCTTCCTGCTCTGGCATTTCTCTCTTTGAGTAAACCGTTATCAAGTTCTCTATTTCAAGATTCCTTTATGTATGACAACTAGGGACTCTGTGTCCCCTTTCACCATCCTTGACAAACTCGTGAATGCCAGGGGAATCATCATTACAAGAAATAACAGTGGCAAACGCAAGCCAAAAATCACCTGCTCACTCTGTATGCATTTCCTGTGAAGAAAGCTGAAGTGGTTTGTATAGGAATGGCCCCCAGAGACTCATGTTTGAATGCTTGGCCCCCAGGGAGTGACATTATTAGGAGGTGTTGTTGGCATTCTGTCTAAACTCCACCCCCACAATTACCTGGCAACAACCAGGTAGGCCAGCCCACTATAAAAGGGGCTGCTTGCCCCCTCCTCTCTCTATTGATCTCTTGATCTGCTCTCTTACCTCTTGCTTCTCCCTTCCCCTCTTTCCTTCCTCATTCCCTTCCCCCTCTCTCCACGTGGTCATGGCTGGCCTCTACTTCTCTTTTCTCTTCTCTCCTCTCCTCTCCTCTCTTCTCTTCTGTTCTCTTCTCTCTTCTGTTCTCTTCTCTCTCCTCTCTCTCTCTCTCTCTCTCCCTCTCTCTCTCTCTCTCTCCCTCTCTCTCTCTCTCTCCCTCTCTCTCCCCCTACTGCCCTCTTTACTCCCCTCCCCATGCCCTGAATAAACTCTATTTTACTACATGGTCCTGTGGCTGGTCCCTCAGGGGGAAGGGATGCTTCAGCATGGACCCGATGAGCCATCCCCTTCCCACATACCTCACCACACCCCAATAGAACACATTGTCTATATCTCTTTATCTTTTTATAAACATATCAGGTGTGGCCTTGTTGGAGGAAATGTGTCACTGTAGGGGGTAGGCTTTGAGGCCTCCTAATCCTCAAACTCTGCCTCTTGTAGAAGAGACAGTCTCCTGGTGGCCTTCTGAGCAAGAGGTAGAACTCTCAGCTCCTTTTCCAGCACCATGTCTGCTTGAATGCTGCCATGCTTCCTGCAATGACGACAATGGACTGAACCTCTGAACCTGTAAGTCACCCCCAATTAAATATTTTCTTTATAAGAGGTACCTCTTCATGGTATCTCTTCACAGTAATAAAACCCTAACTGAGACCAAAGCATTGAACCGATTCCTGTAAATTAAATGTCACTTCAACTCCTGACTTTTATGGGGCTACTGGAGATTTGAACTCAGATTCTCACGCTTTTGTGCCAAGCACTTGCCAGGCACCATCTTGGGCCCATCATTTAAGAATTCTTAAAAAAGATATTGTAGGAATTTTGGGTGTGATTAACATGCCCAGCATCAGTTTAAAAAAAACTGTAATTATGTTGCTTTATTAATTTTTCTTCACAAATTCTTTATAAAAATTCAATATTCCTAAAATATCATACAATAAATAACAGGAATTTCTATGCATAAAACACATGGAAATCTGTGCTCCCCCTTCTTAAAGCAACTCGAGAAGATTCTAACTTCTGAACCATAAATGCCAACATTGTATATCTTCTCTGAGAATTTCAGGAGTGCAGGCAATCCCTGCTTTTCAGGAACAAGAACACAACCGTCTCTCATGGCATCTGACTATATGAACAGATGTGCTTTAGATACAGCTAGCATGTAAATATGTTGACAGAAGATAGTTTTCTGAGTTGGGAATAAATAGCACTTTTAAGGAAACCAATTAAAATTATTATATAAGCAATCCATTCACTCTTGAGTTTAGACAAAGGTTTTTCTTTTATCCCATGTTTTTCATTTTTATATTTGTTTGTTTGTCAGTGTCTCATGCAGTCCAGGCTGGCCTCAAGTTCCTTATGGAGCTGGGAGTGACGCTGAACTTCTGTTCCTCCTGGCTGGGGTCGCAGCCATGGACCATCAGTCCTGTTCAGGAGAGAAATGTGCGCACTGTGCCCTTGATGGTCCCTCTGCAGATGGGACACTTCCTCAGAGAGGGAGCACAGTCCTTGCATACCACCAGATGGCCACATGGAATGAAGACGATAGACACCTCTCGGTCCATACACACTTTACATGTCCTCTCTTCCTGGAGTTTCCGCAACTGTTCTTCCATCGGTAGAGCTGTGAAGAGAGGAAAGTTTTAAACACAGCCTGACTTAAAGCTCTGATCTTCCCACCTCCAGTTTCTAAGTGCTGGGCACACAGCATACGATGCCATGTGAGGGAAGAGAAAAGGATTTTCAATGAAGAGCAAGTTGCTTTTCCTCTAGTGAAATCTCAAGAAAATAAAAACAATGATTTCTGCAGGTTTAAAGTCTTAGTGCCATTACCTGCAGTGTCACCTGTGGGAAGACTCCTAATGTTCTGTTGCACTGGAGGAGGAAAGGGGAAAGCATTAGTATGGGAATCAAGGCTGGTATTTACATTCTAAAAGTTTTATTTATCTAGTATTAATGTTTATTTGAGACACAGAATTATTCTTTACGCAAGCTGGCATTGAACTCACAATCCTCCTGCTTCAGCCTCCTTGATTTTGTGATTGTAGATATATATTACCATGTCCAGCACCATATCTATTTACTTCTTACATGTGAGTGTGTGTGTGTGCACGAGAGAGACAGAGAGAGAGAGAGAGAGAGAGAGAGAGAGAGAGAGAGAGAGAGAGGGAGAGAGAGAGACATATAAACGTAAGAAGTACATAAATAAATTTGCTGCTGGACATGGTAATATATATCTACAATCACTACATCCAGGAGGCTGAAGCAGGAGGACTGTGAGTTCAATGCCAGCTTGGGTCATCAGATTTGTGTAGGCTTTTGGGGCAAGCATTTTACCTGCTGAGACGTCTCACCAGCTCCCCAGAGCCTCCCACCATACACAGCAGATTTTAAACATTTTACACTTTGGACAAAAACTCAGCAAAAGCCCTTAATTTTGTGTAATTAAAATGTATACACTGAGTCCTTTTCAAGAATCTCCAATTACTAATAAGAACCTCTTTGCAATTGACCTAGAAAGTTCCCTCAAATAATTTCCTAGCACTTACCAAATAAATCTCTATATAAAACAGGGTTTATTTCCTGAAGGGAGTTTCTGAATGAGGTCGCTGTGGTGTTTCCTTTCACTAACACAGTATCAATCAGTGTTCTTGCTTGTGAGGTGTGTGGTTTCTGTTTCACAGCATTGTACTCCTGTTCAGTGATGGCCCTGGCACTTAGGAGGCAATCCAGGATTGGTGTCACACATGTCAAATGTTGAAAAAGCACCATTTTGTTCTTCCAGATTAATGCTAAATCATCTTTATGAAGGGAGAGAGAAATACTCTCAAACTCGGCTCACAACTGCCTTCCAAACCTACATAATGCATGAATGAGGTCATATGTGTTTGTTTAAATCATGTACTTCAGTTTGGCGGCCAATTCACCATGACATTAAGCTTCTGATTTTTCTGCTGCTATCCTCTGATTGCCAGCTTTCCAGACAGATGGCCCCAGGCCCAGCTCATGCAGTGCTAGGGATCAAACCCAGGGCTTTGTGATTGCTAAGCAGTCGCTCTGCAAATCCAGCGATGTCCACAGCCCGTTATCTCTTCATTTTCAGTATTCTATTTTCTACTATATCCATAAAATGATGACTACTAATAAAGGCAGTCTAAACTATTATTTTAGGAGAAACAGATTTTAGATCACTGAGCTTGTCACTAGGACATTTGTATAGAACCAGATTAAGGACAAAAGAAATTATGCTTAGTTAAAAAAGTCACACATTTTTTGTTTTCTGTTTGGGTTTGTCTTTTAATGTAGCCCTAGCTAGCCTCGTACTCACCTCATTGCTGAGGATGGCCCTGAACTTCTGTTCCCACTGCAAAGATGCTAGGACTATAGGCATGTACTCCACACCCAGGGTTATACACAGGCATTCTACATGCCTGGCAAGCACTCTACCAATTAAGTTGCACTGACAGCCCTGTTTGTTTTTGAGGTCTCATTCTGCTCTAACCCAAGCTAGTCTGGAACTCATTAGGCAGACCAGTACTCAGGAGGCTAAAGCAGAAAGGTCATGAACTCAAGACCAGTCCGAGCTATATAACAAGATCCTATCTCCAAGTCTGCTTTCTGGTCTGCTGAGGCTCTGGTCGGTGTTCGGGAAACAGAGAGATCAACATGTGCTTTTATCTAGGCCAGAGTGAGGATAGCAATCAGAACAAGAGAGCGGAACATGCCCAGAGGAAGGTGGCTCTGAGCACATAACAGAGAGCAAAATAGCAAACAACACTTGGATGGAGAAGTTGCCCTGGAAGAATGGGAAACAGAACCCAATGACTCCACGAACTTGTAAGGGAAGATAACTCTTATATGGGTAGGTAGGGGACGTAAACATGAATCTGTGCATTAAGTCAGGCACCATGGCCCATGTCTGTCATTACAGCACTTGGGAGGTAGAAGAAAGATCAGGATTCAACTACATAGCAAGTGCAAGCTCAGTCTGAGCTACCTGAGACACTGTCTCACAGGGGTGGAATGAGGGGAGGCTGGAGGGATGGCTCACAGTGTTCTCCAACTCCTTCTAGGAAAACCAACTCTCTTCTAGATCCCAAGGGCTCCTGCACACACATGTACACATAAAACTCACACAGGTACACACATACACACACAAATTAAACATTAATTAAAATGTAAACATTATAGTCTGAGACATATTCAAATTAATAATTCTCCCAGATGCCATCTCAATTTGTAACAAAGAGAATGAGCAACCATCTTGGGATCAAGAACATGCTTTGGGTCAGTGAGATGTCTCAGTGCAGGAATTGCTCAGTGTTAAAGAAATAATATGACTTTGACACTTGGGATCAAAAAAATGTGGAAGGAGAGTTCTGACTCCGATAAGATGTCCTCTGACCTCTATCTATCTGGCATGGCATGGCAGCTCCCCCATGCACACACGCACACACACGCATACATGCACACGCACGTGCACACACACACACACACACACCTTTTCAAAAATTAAGAACTGATTTGGTAATAGTAGTATGTTGAAACCAAGATCCTTAGTGCACAATTTGTGCTTTAAGAGAAAAACATAAGTGCTTATTAATTGAGAAGATCTGTGTACACATGCATAAAATAAAAAGTACACATATAGTGTGATTGTTTTGGACTTTTAAAGTTTGGGGTTTTGCTTCTGTTTTTAAGCTCCATAAGTAATTACATGCAATGCCAAATACTCATCCTAAAAATTTAAATTAAAAAAAAAAACAGTTTTCAGGCCTGGAGGGATGGCTCAGTGGTTAAGAGCACTGACTGCTCTTCCAGAGGATCTAGGTTTAATTCTCAGCACCCACATGGTAACTGACCACTGACTGTAACACCAGTTCCAGGGAATCCACCACCATCTTCTGGCCCCCATATGCATTGCACAGATACACGCAGGCAAGAGGCCCATACACATAAAGTAAAAATAAATAAATAAATCTCAAAAATGCTAACATTTGGGCGGTGGTGGCGCACGCCTTTAATCCCAGCACTTGGGAGGCAGAGGCAGGCAGATTTCTCAGTTCGAGGCCAGCCTGGTCTACAGAGTGAGTTCCAGGACAGCCAGGGCTACACAGAGAAACCCTGTCTCGAAAAACCAAAAAAAAAAAAAAATGCTAACATTTGCTCAACACAAACATTTGTAAATTTAATGAGCAACTCTGATGTATTTTTAATAGTGTGTGTGTGTGTGTCTGTGTCTGTGTCTGTGCGTGTCTGTGTCTATGTGTGTACATGTGCTACAGCATGCATGTAGGGGACAGGAAAACCTGTATGAGTCAAGTCAGATCTCCCCTTCCATTAAATGGGTTTTAGGGATCAAGCTATGGCCATCAGGTTCAGCGGGACACGCCCTTACCTGATGAGCTGACTCCCTAGTCCTCCACAATGCACTTTGTTAGGAAGAATTTACTTTCAGAATTTGAATTTAAAATATGAAACATAAGAAAGGCCAGGCTGGGTGAATGGGCATCTTTTTAGAACTCTATGGGGGACAGCATAGCTGTCCAGAGAGAGCCCTTGTGACTCTGTACCTGACTCCTCCTTCTCCTCGGCTGCCTGCTCCATGTGCTCTTCTCTCATCTCGTCCTCTGCATCCAGTAAGCCTATCACGAGGTCACTGACCGTCCTGTAGTTCTCACCAGTGGCCAGGATCTGACGCTGAACCGTCTGTCTCACCAGGCTCCTCCTGAAGCCCATTTCCAAGGCTGCTTTAACCACAGGCGTGCTCATCATGACGACATCTTCCGAACTTTCTCCAGGGCCGAAATGCACAACTGGAAGGAAAGGGGGATTTAACCGATATTAGCAGTGCCCACACACCTTTTTGTTGTGGTTGTCCTTCTAGGCCATCTAGCCTCAAGCTTATTATGTAGCCCAGGCTGATCTCAAATTCATGCCAATTCTTCTGCCTGAGAAAGTGTCAGGCACAAACCAACATGCCTCGCTTCGTATACTTTTTAAATAGAAAGTTACAGCACTATCCAAAACATAAAAAAACAAAAACTAAATAGGCACTACACAGTCTACATTTTACTAACTTTATAATGGCATGTAGTCAACCACTGATGTAAGAATATAAAATACTATTGCCTTGAGATTCAAGTCTGTGATTAGCTCTACTCTAGAGAAAAGAGAACCAAACACCAGAATCAGGGGCTTCATTCTCTGTTGTAATCAATAAACTAATGGGATTTCTATATCAAATATATATTTCTAACATGTGCTTCTTCTTTGTTAGCATTTATTAGTTGTCTACAATGTTTTTATTGTGATACATTCATATTCACATTCCACATACTTTGATATTTCTAGTTCTTTCCATTTCCTGCAAATGGTATGGTTTCACGCTTTAATTTATAGCTGGGTAATCGTCTTCCTTTATTTTTGCTTGTTTGTGAGAGACAAGGTCCCAGCATATAGGCCAGGATCTTGCCTCAGCTTCCCAAATGCTGAGGTCACAGGTGTATACAACACTATCTTATCCATCCGTCTGCCAGTGAGCACCTTGGCTCTATCTCTAACTTCACTATTGTGTCTTCACACTTCTAAAAGAAACCACTGTTACCCCTCAGCCTGGCCACCCAACTATCCCAGAATACTGCCCCCCCCCATTTCAGCTTACTCAACACTACAACCCAACAACTTAAAATGCAAACTTAAAACATCATACTCCCCAAAGTGAACACCATTACCTTCCAAAAAACTCTCAGATCTAACTCTGGCTTATACATTCTGATCAGTCACTGCTTCACATCTTGCTACTCCCAGGCCATAAGCAGCCTCAAGCACTTGCCCCTTGCATTCTTCCCTGGAACTTCTGAACTGATAGCTCTTGAGGCAGATAGACTCTGTCCTCAGTGCTGATTCTGCGAGCTGGTCTCACATAATTATCTGTCTGCCCGCAGCTCCCTCTTCTAGCTACACAAAATCTTTGCTCTGTTCTTTGAATGTCCCTATTCCACATTGCTTAGCCTCTGATATTGTCTTTGCCCAGAACATACTCTTCCCTGTCAGTTAAATGATTGCTTTTGTTCTTGGGCCCTCTGCTAAGTACTTCCCCCAGAGAGCCTTTTCTTTCATTTTTAGTTTGTTTTATTTTATGGGCTCTTTTTGTTTGTTTTTGGTTTTTTTTTTTGTTTTTTTTTTGAGAAGGGGTGTGTGTGCTATGGCATGTGGGTACCTGTGTCATGGCATGTGGGTACCTGTGCCATGGCATGTGGGTAGCCAGAGGACAACTTTCAGGAGTCAGCTTTCCCCTTCCACCATGTGTGTCCAGGGGCTACAACTGTAGCTGAGCCATCTGCCAGCTCTGTTTTGTTCTTTTAAGACAAAGTCTCAGTAGGTTACCCAGGCTGGCCTGGAACTCACTGTATATAACCCAGGCTGGCTGGGAATGTATGACCCTGTGCCTTAACCCTCCAAGTTCTGATATTGCATTCCCTGTCCCAGACAGATGCTGCTACATCTTGTTTGATAGACAGTAACAGGGTGTCTTAATTATAAATCACATTTCGATTATAAACTAGAAATCAACATAAATATTCATTTCCTATGATAATCTTTCAATCGTTTTTAGGACAGGGTCTCACATAATTCAATAGGGCTTTGAGCACATAAGCCTTCCACTTTCGCTTTCCAAATACTGGATTACAACTGCACCCAGTTTCCCCTCCAACCTTAATACAAAAACGGATCACTTTAATGCAGGAGTTATGATCATTATACGTACTTGCCGCTTCTGCAGTCTCATCTTCCGGAGAGTCTGATGTGGATAATAGCTATAGGAAAAAATACACATGTTAAAATATAAACTGCATCCTAGCACTGCACTGAAAATGACCAACAGACCTGCTCCATTTAACCTACCACTGACTGACTTTGTCATCAACAGGACATTTTCTCAGTCAGAAGCAACACATCATTTACATTCACTAGGGATTTGAATAAGGAGGCTCTAAACTAACAGCTTCCTATGGAGAGTATGCTCCAGTGAGCAAAGTCTGCCCTCACTGGGCAGGACAGGCTGGGTTTCCTGGGAGGTAGTATGTTGGCCCTGAATCCGCAAATCTCAGGTTGCCTAGTCATCTACTGGGACAGAGTCCATGCCAGTCAGATCTGCTGGCCATCACAAACACGTTTCTGAACCTCAGACAATGAAATAAGATCTCATTAGCTTTTCCAGGGAGCAGCTAACATATGCTTTCTCAACTCATTTAAGAAAAACTTGCACAGTGAAGTTGTTCTCCTCACATTTATTATTTAATTTATCATTTTCAGAGGTTAATTTATTGTTGCAGCTGATTAGACGAGAGCTTAAAGAGAAATAGAACAAATACCATCTTTCATGTGGCTAATACTTACAGATCTGGTTTTCTCAAAAGAGAAGCACCTGCACACTTATGTTGAGGTTTATGAAAAGAAAGGAGGGTGTGTTTTAAAACAACTTTCACTCTTTCACTGAAATATTATTGTGATTTATTTTTACAAATAAATTTAAAAAATAATTTTGTGAACCAATAATTTAAAAAAATAAAAATAATTTAAAAACAAAAAAAGGGAAGCCTCCCACCTGCTCAAGTAGATGAGGGTAACCAGCTTGAACCCGGCTGACAAACTCTTGGCCTTTGATTCTGATCAAGTACTCACACCTAAAACATTAACATCAGGAATTACTTAGTAAGACACCACTGCTCATCGTCAGGTTTATAATGTGCAGTTCATATCTTATGATTAACAATTTATCTTAATTTTTAAAAATGAAACAAAACTTAATAACAAACCCATGTCCAGAGGTTCGTTTCTCGCGGAAGCAGGGTAAGTATCACTGAGGGACACTGGAGGTCAGATTCTTAGCAACGGAAGGATAGATAAACCACAGCTCAGCACACACTGATTCTATGTGTATCGGTTTCCTTTTGAAGTTTTTTGAAGATTTATTTTCTGCTTGGTACATTTCTGTGTCTATATGTGGTTTGC